CGAACAGCGCAGCTCAACGTTTTTCAGCATTCCTCGGACTTCGAGAGGCTCGCGCGGCACGCCTCTGGAGGGCGGCGCGCCCCCCGTGGACGCTCTCGAACCCCATCCTGGTCCTTTAGCGCGGGGGGCGTTGCCAGTTGTCGATCTACCGGTCCTGCACCGTCCACCCGCGAAGCGGGCAATGGCGAGGCGCGGTGCTCCAGATTTCGTAATAAAAGGGAGGGGGTCTCAACCCTCCCAGACGAGAAGTTTTAGACCCCCCCCGTGGGAGAACCCTCCAAAACATCGTCCCCAGACCCCCCCAGGCCCTCCAAGATAGCCTGGAAGAGACCCCCCCCGAAATCACACACCCCTCTTTTTATTACGAGATCTGGAGTATGTTCTCCAGGGGCTAGAAGTTGCCATCCGTTGTTCGGCGGGGTGGGGGGCATGCGGCTGGCGGGGGGGGCGGCGGGAACAAAGCAGGGGCGCAGCTCCGCCGGCGAAGGCGCCGGCGCAAGGCCAGCTCGGCGGGGAGCGTTGGGAATCAGCAAAGCCTTGGCGTTGTGACCGCGGTCGACGAACGTGTTCCTCCTCCTCCTCCTCCTCCTCCTCCTCCTCCTCCTCCATCTCCTCCTCCTCCATCTCCTCCTCCTCCTCCTCCTCCTCCTCCTCCTCCTCCTCCTCCTCCTCCTCCTCGGGTACCAAGGCGCGGCCCCATGGCCACGCGACCCCGTGGATACGTGGGGCATCCTCGCAAAACCGCGTTGTATCCGGGGGGTCGCGGCCAAGGAATCCAGGCTTCGCGGCCTTGGGTGTGGACTGTTCCCTGGCCGCGATTTATCGCCTCGTCCGGGAAGGGTGGGCTCGCCGGGTCGCCAGCCAGCCAACGCACTCGTTGGCTGAATTCCCAAAGCCCCTTTAACAGAGCCCTGGGGCGTCCATCCCAGGCTAGACATTCTACATCGCCGACACATGCGTATATGCTATGTATTTGTATGTGGCCCCGTGGAACCCTCATGTATGCATATCCGGTGCTTCCTGGGGCCCTGGGACATCGGCCGTGCGTACGGTAAAAGGGTATGTGTGTATGTGTGAGCGAGTCACTGAGTGAGTCTCAGTCTCGCCGTGTCGGCGGTTTGAATGGCAGCTTTCGCTCGTCTTCCCTCCATGGGGTCCCCTTGGGCCGACCCCCCTCCCGAACTCTCTCTTATCGCTCCTCTTTTTCTGTTTTTTCTTTTGTTGATACGCCCTCGGGGGGCCTCGCGCTCCGACGGCGGCGCCGTCCTCCCTTCTGGTGAGTGCCCAGCGCACAAGGGGCTGCCGTCTCTGGAGAGGTCGTAGGCCCCTGGCCCCTCGCCCGCCGTCTCAAGTTCGCCTCTGTATTCGCTGCTCCTTCCTTCTAGGCTGGCCGCTCTTCTCGGACTGGCCCGTCTTCGCCGCCGTGCTGCCCCGCGGCCCCGTTCCGCCTTCGCTCTGATGGGTGCCTAGCGCACAGGGGGCGGTTTCGGGGCTCGCCCGCGGTGCCGGGGCCCCGGCCTGCGCGCTGCGTCCTGCCGTGGCCTTTCCTCCCTGTCCGCTTGCTGGTGGTGCTGGCCAGTGTCACCACTCGCGCTGGCTGTCGCGTCTCCTCCTTCCTTGGCAGCTGTTTTACCTCCCTCTGTCCACTTGCGGCACTCTACCTCTCCTGCCTGGCGGGGCACTTATTGTGGTCCTCGTCGCTGTTTCGTGGAGCTGCCTGCCTGGCCAGTGTCTCGTCGGCCTCCCCGGGCGCATGCCAGTTCTGTTCTCGCAGGGACGTTTCGCCTTCTGTGGAGCTGCCTCCCTGGCCTTTGGCCTCTCGGCCTCCCCGGGCTGCCCCGCCTCAGGTGTGCCGCCTGGTGGTGTTGTCCTCCCCTCTTCTCCCCCTTCTGCTCCCTCCTCTGGTCGTCCCCCGGGCTGTCGCCCGGGTCTCTGCCCCCTGTCCCGTCGTCGGGCCGCGCTCCGTGGCCCCCCCCGCTCCCTCTCAGGAGGGGAAAAAACACACAGACACAATGAATCGTCGATTCCCCAGAAAATATGGGGAAATATGGGAAGTGGGGGGGAAGACGAAAACCCAGAAACTGTAGGAAAATATGGGGAACCCTTTTATTTCTGTGTATTTATTTGTGTGTCCCAGGGCCTCTTCATCCTCCCCCTCCCCTGGGTCCTGGTCCGTCCTGGCTTTGGATGTCGTCCTCTCTTCCGCCTCCTGCTGCCATGCTGCCCTTTCCACCGCCCACCAAACCACCCCAGCCCAACCCGAAGGCCCCAGTTATTTGCCCTCCATTCCCAGGGGGGGGGGGGCGTCGTGGAACACTGGAAGACACATGACGAGTCCGTTCGGGTTAGGTTGGGGTGGTCTGGTAGGTAGTCATCTTCCGGGCACGCCGTTCCCGATGTCGGGGAGGCCATTGCAAGCGCCGCCAGCACACCGCCTGCCGCCCCCTGCCGGCCACCCCGTTTTTCTGGCTGTATATTTCGCCCCCGCTGGCAAGCATCCTCGCAGCGGCTCCGTGCGGTCTTCCCTCCGTTCTCGCTGGCTCTGTTTCCTTTGTATTCGCCTGCATGTTTTATGTGCCCGTCCTTTGTGGCATCTGTTTATGACGGTTGGACCGAGGTATAAGATCGACGTTGGTTTGGGGAGGGTACCCTAATGTTCTTCGTGCTTGTTCGTTGTCCTTGTGCATTTTGGGGGAGGGTACCCTCGTATGTTTTTCAGTTCGGCCAGCGGAGGGTCTCATGTTCTTGAGGGATGTTCTTCTGTCCCAGGTCCGGCCGTATTTCCTTCAGCATGCCCTTGCATCCACTTGCACGGCCCGTCGGCACCTTTTTGTGTGCACCCGTCTACCGCTCGTAGGTCTGACCTCCCATTGGCTCACGTTTGGTGGCAATCACACTCTTTAGCGCAACCGCTCTTGCCATCGCTGCGTTGGACCAACCGGCCGCGAAGCCCAGCGTATGTGTGTGAGAGAGAGAGAGAGAGAGAGACTTATGTGTGTGTGTGTGCGTGCGTGCGTGCGTGCTTGTGTGCTTGCGTGCTTGTGTGCGGTCGTGCGTGTGTGCGTGCGTGCGTGTGTGTACGTGTGTGTATGTGTGTGTGAGTGCGTGCTTGCGTGCGGTCGTGCGTGTGTGCTTGCGTGCAGCCAAGCGTGTGCGCGTGCGGGTGTGTGCGTGAGTGTGTGTGTGTGAGTGTGTGCGCGTCTGTGTGTGTGTGTGTTTGCGTGTGTGTGTGTGCTTCGTGTGCGTGTGTGTGCGCGCGCGTGCGTGTGCGTGTTCGTGTGCGCGTGTGTGTGTGTGTGTGTGTGTGTGTGTGTGTGCGTGCGTGCGTGCGTGCGTGCGTGTGTGCGTGTGTGTGTGTGTGTGTGTGCGTGCGTGCGTGCGTGCGTGCGTGTGTGCGTGTGTGCGTACGTGTGTGCATGTGCGTGCGTGTGTACATGTGTGCGTGTGCGTGTGTGTATGTGCGCGCGTGCGCGCGTGTGCGTGTGCGTGTGTGTGTGTGTGTGTGTGTGTGTGCGTGCGTGCGTGCGTGCGTGCGTGCGTGCGTGCGTGCTTGCGTGCGGTCGTGCTTGTGTTCGTGCGTTCGTTGTGTGTGTGTGTCTGTGTGTATGTGTGTGTGTGTGTGCGCGTGCATGTGCGTGCGCGCGCGCGCGTGTGTGTGTGTGTGTGTGTGTGTGTGTGTGTGTGTGTGTGTGTGCGTGAGTGCGTGCGTGTGCGTGTTCGTGCGTGTGTGTGTGTGTGTGTCTGTGTGCGTGCGTGCTTGCGTGCGGTCGTGCGTGCGTGCGTGCTGCCGTGCGGTCGTGCGTGCGTGCGTGTGTGTATGTGCGCGCGCATGTGTTTGTGTGTGTGTTTGTGTGCGTGTGTGCGTGTGTGTGTGTGGTGTGCGTGCGTGCGTGCGTGCGTGCGTGCGTGCGTGCTGCCGTGCGGTCGTGCGTGCGTGCGTGTGTGTATGTGCGCGCGCATGTGTGTGTGTGTGTTTGTGTGTGTGCGTGTGCGTGTGCGTGCGCGTGTGTGTGTGTGTGTGTGTGTGCGAGTGTGTGTGTGTGTGTGCGGTGTGCGTGCGTGCGGTCGTTCGTGCTTGCGTGCGGTCGTGCTTGTGTGCGTGCGTGCGTGTGTGTGTGTGTGTGTGCGTGTGTGTGCCTGTGTGTATGTTCGTGTGTGCGCTGTGTGTATGTGCGTGTGTGCGCGTGCATGTGCGTGTGTGTGGTGTGTGTGTGTGTGCGTTGTGGTGTGTGTGTGCGTGCGTGCGTGTGTGTGTGTGTGTTTGCGTGCGTGCGTGTGTGTGTGTGTGTGTGTGTGCGTGCGCGCGTGCGTGCGTGCGTGCTGCCGTGCGGTCGTGCGTGCGTGCGTGTGTGTATGTGCGCGCGCGTGTGTGTGTGTGTGTTGTGTGTGTGTGCGTGTGCGTGTGCGTGCGCGTGTGTGTGTGTGTGTGTGTGTGTGTGTGTGTGTGTGTGTGCGTGCGTGCGTGCGGTCGTGCGTGCTTGCGTGCGGTCGTGCTTGTGTGCGTGCGTGTGTGTGTGTGTGTGTATGTGCGTGTGTGCGCGTGCATGTGCGTGCGTGCGCGCGTGTGTGTGTGTGTGCGTGAGTGCGTGTGCGTGTGCGTGCGTGCCTGTGTGTGTGTGTGTTTGCGAGCGTGTGTGTGTGTGTGTGTGTGTGTGTGTGTGTGTGCGTGCGTGCGTGCGTGCGTGCGTGCGTGCGTGCGTGCGTGCGTGCGTGCGTGCTGCCATGCGGTCGTGCGTGCATGTGCGTGTGTGTATGTGCGCGCGCGTGTGTGTGTGTTTTTGTGTGTGCGTGTGCGTGTGCGTGCGCGTGCGCGTGCGCGTGCGCGTGCGCGTGTGTGTGTGTGTGTGTGTTTACGTGCGTGCGTGCGTGCGTTCGTGCGTCCGTGCGTGTGCGTGCGTGCGTGCTTGCGTGCCTGTGTGCGTGTGTGCCTCTGCCCCTGCCTCGTGAACCTCCCTGCCTGTCAAGCCCCGAGGCCTCCCGGGCCCCGCCCCTCCCGCGAGGCAGCTCCAGCCGGCCGCCGATAGGCCTGCCCTGCAGGGCGGCATCGACGTCCGCGAGCAGAGCCACGCCAGCAGCTCGAACATGACCAGCGACAGCGGGGCCCAGGAGCCGCCCCGAGCGAGGATCGGAGTGGCCTCGGCCTGCTCGAGGATCGAGGTTCGAGGATCCGCCCCGCTCGTGGGCAGGAGCCGCCCTGCTCGAGGATCGAGGTTCGAGGATCGAGGATCGAGGTTCGAGGATCGAGGATCGAGGATCGAGGATCGTGGGCAGGAGCCGCCCCGAGCGAGGAGCGGGCTCGAGGATCGAGGCTCGGAGTGCCCTCGGCCCTCTCGGGGGCTTCCCGGGGGCTCCTCGCCGCCACGGCTGGGCCCGCTTCGAAGTTCCAACCAGCACGCTCGCTCTCTCTCTCTCTCTCTTTTCTTTCTCTTTCCCTCTTTCTCTCTCTCTCTTTCTCTCTTTTCATCTATATATTTATACACATCATACACAAGCACAAACACAAACACAAGCACAAGCACAAGCACACGCACAAGCTCAAGCACAAACACAAGCACAAGCACAGGCACAAACACATACACACACTAACAGGTTTGGGAAGCGACGTTTGACCACATATTTAGGCTCACCATGGAGGCAATGGGGCCCTGCAGGAAAGCGGTCTGTCGAGTTGTTTCGATTCCCTCGGGCCTTCAGGGACCCTCCGCGGGCCTCCAAAGGAGCATCAAAACTGGCCCTGGCCAGGTAAAGCGCTGGATTTGTTTCCACCAGGGCCCCTTCTCCCAATGCCAAGAAGAGGACCTTCTCGACAGCACCGCGCTGCTCGGGGCCTGCTCGACGGCGGAGTTTATTGACGTGTGTGTGTCTGTCTGTCTGTCTGTCTGTCTGTCTGTCTGTCTGTCTGTCTGTCTGTCTGTGTGTGTGTGTGTGTGTGTCTGTCTGTCTGTCTGTCTGTCTGTCTGTCTGTCTGTCTGTCTGTCTGTCTGTCTGTCTGTCTGTCTGTCTGTCTGTGTGTGTGTGTCTGTGTCTGTGTCTGTGTCTGTGTCTGTGTCTGTGTCTGTGTCTGTGAGCCCCGCCGCGTCGCGCCAGCCGACACCCCTGCTGGAGCGGCCCCAACGCTTGGGCGATCGGCTCCTTGTGCCTCGTCGTCGCTGCCTGCGCCGCCATGCGACAAAGCTTAGCGGCGCGCAGAGGGGGGTAGGGGGAGGGGGGAAGGCTTCTTAGAAGCACCCCTGCTTCTTAGAAGGTGCGGGCCTTCTCTGTAGATGTAAGGCCGGCGCCTTCTAAGAAGCAGCCTCCTTCTAAGAAGCCTTCCCCCCCTCCCTCCACCCCCTTCTGCGCGCCGCCAAAAAGCGTCTGGCCGCGTGCGAGAGGCCGTTTCCCTGAGCGGGATGAGGCAATGGCAGCGCCTCGCCGCGCACGGTCGTGGCGAGCAGCGCTGCACCAGTGCCTCCCTCTCGTCGGCGTCGCCGCGGAGCGTGACCCGGTGCTCGGAGCGCTCCCCCGTGATGCCCGACCTGGAGTGCTGCGGGAGCTTTGTTCGGATTCCTGGCGGCTTCCGCCGCGGCAGCCGCTTCCCGAGCCCCCTGCCGGCGCTGTGGCTGCGGCGGCGGCGCTCGCGCGGCGCCTGCCGCTGGGGAGGCGGCCGGCCGGGCGGCCGCGCGCCGGCGCCCCGGCAGCGGGCCTCCCTGGACCGCGCGCGGCTCGCTGCCGCAGCGGCCCGGGGCTCCTCCTCCTCCTCCTCCTCCTCCTCCTCCTCCTCCTCCTTCTCCGCCTCCTCCCCCTACCCCTACCCCCCCCCACGAGTTCTGAGGGGGAGGGCGGGGTTCACTCCATTCGGGAGCTCCCGAGCGGAGTGAGCCCCACCCTCCCCCTCAGAACTCGTGGGGGGTGGGGGTAGGGCTCGCATGCGTAACCAGGGTGTGCACCCGCTCGGTTTGGGCCGCGGCGCCCGCTGTGGCCGCTGGCCGCCGCCACCGCGGTCGCCGGCTCGCGCCGTGGCTTCCTGCCGGATCCCGCGTCGTCGCTCTCGGAGCCGGAGGCGGTCCTGGCGCCTGCCCCGGCCACGCGCAGAGGGGGGTGGGGGGAGGGGGGGAGGCTTCTTAGAAGCACCCCTGCTTCTTAGGAGGCGCGGGCCTTCTCTATACATGTAGGGCCCGCGCCTTCTACGAAGCAGCCCCCTTTGAAGAAGGCTCCCCCCCTCCCCCTATCCCCTGGTGCGCGCCGCCAACTGTCGTCGCCCGCAGGGTGGGTTGGCGAAGGGCATGTGCGGCAAGAGCGGCTGGCGTGTCTTGGCGGCCTCCCGGGCTGGTTCCGCGGCCACGGCCTTCATCGCTGCAGCCAGCAAGTCGCCGACGGTCACGGCGAGGCTGTTCGGAGCAGTCGTCCAGGTGGGCACGGCCTTGCGGTTCGCGAGGCTGTTCGCGAAACGTGCAAGGTTTTAGATGACAGGGCGCTCGAGCGAGCCATGCTTTCGGACGTGGACGCGAGCCGGTGCGAAGACATCGTGTCGCGCGTTGGGGCCACCGTCAAGACGCACAAGCCTCCTGGCAAGGTGGAGTTGCGCCTCCTCCACTGTAGTGTTCGTAATCCGATGGCTCCAGCAATGCGGTGGATCTCCCACGCGTTGCTCCCTCATCTTAGGCGTGTTCCGTTTCCGGCTCGCGACTCCCAGCACCTATTACAGATCATGTCGCGCACAGTCGAGCCAGCCGATTGCCACTTAGTAAAAATAGACACACAAGAATATTTTATGTCTGGTTTGCATGCCGATCTTGTCACACATTCCTCAGCTTTTTTCGACGGCGTCCAACAAGATGCATACGCCGCTGCGTGCGATTTTGGATTGCCAGTACGTGGCGTGCCCCACAGCGCCCGACAAGGTCTAGAAGGTCACCGTCGGCGCTGGCATGGGACTCCCTTGTAGTGGGGAGGTTGCTGACGCAGCGTATTTCAATCAAGTTGAGCGCGACAGCGTGTCTCAAGATCGTTTCTGCGAGTTGCACGGCATAGTCGCTTATATTAGGTATCGTGACGACATTATGCTGGTGCATTCGGGGTCCAGAGCACAGCTGGATGCCCTTATTGGCAGATTGCAAGAGCTGTCAACGTTGTTTAAGCTAGAAGTTGAGAGTATCGCCTCCGATGAGGTTCAGATGCTCGACGTCGTGTTTTACCGTGGGCCCCGCTGGCGCTCCACGGGCATCATGGATCACCGCATCCATATCAAGCGGTCGTTTTTGTGGATCCCCCTCAGCGATCGCAGCATGCATCCCGCCGGCGTGCACCGAGCATGGCCGCTCGCACACGCGCTCCGCGTGCGCCGTTTGTGTTCGGAGCGGCAGCACGCCGACAGTGAGATCAAGAAGTTTTGTAGCATTTTGCGTCAGCATTCCTCACACATCGCACTATTACCACGAATCTTGGGGGTGCGGCCCCCCATTTTTCGCCTCCCTGGCTCGACTGTCCATGAGCAACAGCCTTTGACTCGTATTGTAATGCCGTGCTGCAGCCAGTGGCAGGCTGCAGGCGTGCAGCGTGTAGTAAATCGCGTTGTGAAGCCATGGCGCTCTCAACACGGAGGCTTCTCCGCCATAGGCATCGCATGGAGTTTGGGCGACAAGCATTTTTTCCATATTGTCAAATCGTATAACAGCTCTCTCGAAGAAGGGGGCTGCGGCTTGCGCATTTTATGCGCTGCGACTCGATAGTGGTTGGTTGGTTGGGGCTGGTTGGTGGACGCATTGTCTTGCATTGTCTTCTCGGCATCAGTGCCACAACGTTGACGGCAGGCAGCGCATCTCTACATAATTGCGTTTTTGCTCGAACTCGCTGAGCAAGCAAGGATACAGCCAAGGTAGCAGAGTCTTGGCCGAGCACCAAAACATCATCGCCAGAGCGTGTGTGTTGCCCATTCCCTGAATTCTGAGGGGGAGGGTGGGGTTCACTCCATTCGGGAACTCCCGAGCGAAGTGAACCCCACCCTCCCCCTCAGAACTCGTGGGGGGTGGGGGTAGGGCTCGCATGCGTAACCAGGGTGTGCACCCGCTCGGTTTGGGCCGCGGCGCCCGCTGTGGCCGCTGGCCGCCGCCACCGCGGTCGCCGGCTCGCGCCGTGGCTTCCTGCCGGATCCCGCGTCGTCGCTCTCGGAGCCGGAGGCGGTCTTGGCGCCTGCCCCGGCCACGCGCAGAGGGGGGTGGGGGGAGGGGGGGAGGCTTCTTAGAAGCACCCCTGCTTCTTAGGAGGCGCGGGCCTTCTCTATACATGTAGGGCCCGCGCCTTCTACGAAGCAGCCCCCTTTGAAGAAGGCTCCCCCCCTCCCCCTATCCCCTGGTGCGCGCCGCCAACTGTCGTCGCCCGCAGGGTGGGTTGGCGAAGGGCATGTGCGGCAGGAGCGGCTGGCGTGTCTTGGCGGCCTCCCAGGCTGGTTCCGCGGCCACGGCCTTCATCGCTGCAGCCAGCAAGTCGCCGACGGTCACGGCGAGGCTGTTCGGAGCAGTCGTCCAGGTGGGCACGGCCTTGCGGAGGATTGCTCGTCTTTTTCCTCTCCATCTTCCGCCTTCCGCCAGTTATCGGACACGTGACGTGTGACGAGTGAGAATTCCGGAGACCCATCGTTCCGCCTATTGGCACCGATACCTCCAGAACTTCTCCGACGATTGCCTCATCGCAGAAGATGGTAAACTCGTACTGCTTGAGAAAATCTGCGCACGTGGTAATCATCCTCCTTCATCCTCCCTCCTCCTCCTCCTCCTCGTCCTCCTCCTCACTGCGCCTTCCTCCTCCCCCCTTTCCCCCTTTCCCTCCCCCCTCCCTCCTCTCTTCCCCCTCCGACGGAGGGAGAAGCCTCGAACCCCTCCGCCGGAAGGAGAGCAGCAGCAGCTCCTCGGCGCTCAAGGGGCTCTCGAGCTACGGCAGGCCGCTGGACCTTCCCGCCGACGCCGCAGATCTGTGCCACAGGCGCCCTGGCAGGAGGAGGGGTGAAAGGGAGGGAGGGAGGGAGAGGGAGGCAGTGAAGAAGGAGGATGAGGATGAGGAGGAGGAGAAGGAAAAGGAGCAGGAGGAGGATGAGCAAGAAGAAGCATACGGAGCAGGAGAGAGCAGGAGTCGGAGCAGGGGTCTAGGTAGCCAGGTCGAGCGAGTCAGGGGGCCCCGCTGATTCCACCCCCCTTTCCCACAACACAATAAGCACCTCTGGCACAAGCTGATTTTGGAACCGGAGCGCGCTCCCGCCTCGCAAACGGAAGGCGCTCGCGCGCGGCCCCGCTTCCAACGCGCTGCCGAAGAGGAAACGACGCGGGCCGCGCAGGGGCGGGAGCGGCAGAACTCCCGATGGGCGCGGCGACGGCGAAGCGTGCGCCACGCTGACACAGCATTGCCTCTCTCACTCGCCGTGTGCGCGGCGTCTTGGCGAGGTCGGCATTTCGCCCGCTCTCGCGCGGCTCCGCTGCAGCTGTCGCCTCAGTGCGCTTCGGCGAAGGAGCCATGCGCCGCGCCCGCGCTGGAGCACTACGTACTTCCGACCCACATGCGCACGGAGCTTGGGCGACGGCAACAGGTTGCTGAATCGCGCGGGCCCCACCGCGCCGCGTCGAGGCGGGAACGCCACTTCCGAGCGAAACCTGCGCGGCGCCAAAGCGAAAACGATATTTTCGTCCGCTCGCGTGTTGGGGAACACGCGTGCTACAAATGGGTGCCGCGCCCCAGGGGTTATTTCACTCTCCAGGAAAGAGTGCGGCGCCGAAGCGAGAACGACAAGTTGGCCTTTCAAGCGGGATGCTGGACGCCAGAGTATCAACGCCGACGCGAAGCACATGGATTTGTGTTTGTTGGGTGGGCTGCGACCGCCCGGACTGGGCGACGATCGGCCAGCCAGGTGGCGGAGTGGGAGTGTAGAGTGACACAGAATACAGTCGGGGCCCTGAAGAAGGAACCCTTTTCGTTGGGAAGGGGCTCCGCGTTCCTGAAGTGTTTCACAGCTTGCCTCAGGCTCTCCTTCTGTTTTCGACAGGAAATCGAAGGTTAACTTATGGAAAAAAAGGGCCTCGTTCCTTATTTAGGGTTCCTTAGGTCAACGCATCGACTGTACGGATTGGCTGAATAAGGCTAGGAGTCAGGTGAGCCAGGTCGCGCGAGTCAGAGGGCTCCGCGCATTCCCACCCGCTCTCGCCAACATAAGAATCAGCTGTGACACACAGGCGCAGACACACACACACACAGACACAGGCACACACACACACACACATAAGCACACACACACACACGCACGCACGCACGCACGCACGCACACACACACACACACTCACCCACACACACACACCACACACATTCACACAGCCTAGGGAGTGACCCGTTGGTCTGCGGCCTGCCGCGATGACCCTTCCTGGTCCCGTGTTGTCTGGGCGGCTTCTTGGTCGGGGGGGTTCCGTTGTCCCGCTCCCCCTGGCTGACGTCTGTCTCCGCAGGGTGCTGGGCCGGGGCCGAAGTGCCCTGGTGGCCCTGTGTGTGGGCCTGGCTCAGGGGGCCCTGGCGGTCCCCTGGGGGATCTCGGGGCGTGGTACTTTCTAGTGCGCACGTGAGCGAATCTCAGTGGTCCCGTGGGGGCAGGCCCCTTGGACCTGCAGTGACTTACAGGCTGTCACTGGGTTTTGCTCTCGAGCTCTGACCAGGGACTGTCCGAAAGCTGGTACACACACACTTACACACAATTACACACACTTACACACACACTTACACACACACACACACTTACAAACACTTACACACACTTACACATACACTTCCACTCACACATGCACTTCTACTTCAAATTGCACTTACACTTGCACTTACACCTACACGCATTCAGTGCCGCCTCTCTGATCTGACTCATGCTGTGGAGATGCTAGATCCGAAGTGCTCGTAGTCGCGATTACAACAGCCAGCGGGGCTTTGAAGCGCGTGTGCCGCGGGAGGAGGGGGAGGAGGGGGAGGAGGAGGAGGAGGAGGAGGAGGAGGAGGAGGAGGAGGAGGAGGAGGTGGAGGAGGGCCGGGAACAGGAGGAGGCACCGGATGGGGCCGGAGAGCACAGAGCCAGTCCAGTGCGGGGGCTTTGTGTGCCAGAGGGGGTGGAGGGGGGGGGCACCAGCCGAAGACACATGTCCGCCCCTCGCCCGCTGGCCGCTGGACGTCGCATGTTCCCAGAGCTCTTCGGATCGCCAGAACATCAGGACGCACTTTTTCTGCCGTCTTCGGTCTCTGGGGGCCCTTGCCATGCCCCGCCCTGGGACAGTGAGAGGAAGCGATCCCCAGCAGGAAGAGCCAGCGCCCTGGAAGGGCCTCGGGCCTCGGTGTGCCGACGCCGTGAGGCATCACGACGCCGCTGCTTCCGACGGGTCGAGCCCGAGTGGCTCCTCGGGCTCCAGGGGCCGTAGCCCCAGCGCGGCACGGAGCGAGAGGCCGGCTCCTGTCAAGAGGTCCGGAGGCAGGCGGCTCGGGGGGGGGGGGCCGGCGGGGCCTCTCCCCGTGTGCCCCCGCAGGCAGTGGAACAGCAGCGAGAGCAGCGGAGCAACGGCCAGAGAGGCCGCCGCGCGGGCCCGCCCTCTCCCGGGCCCCTTCGCATCGTCGGTCACCCGGCGCGTTCCACTGCCTCGTCGGCGTCCGGAGAAACACGGGTCTGCCTCGATGTGTTCGATCGTGAATCCCCCGTAGCAGGTCCGGGCCACTTTGCAAGTAGCTGCTCTGCGAGGAGTGGGACGCGCTGGTTTTTTGTTAGAGCCATCCCAGCCCCTCCTGGGACAGCGCAGGGCAGCTCCCCCATTGTACAGTTGACCCGCATAGTAAGGATGAGCATTCTTTCCAAGGTTACCCCTGCTTCCTTCCCCGGATTACCCCTGCTTCCTTCCCCGTCGGCCCATCCTTGGCCGCTTTCACCGGCCGCGCCCCGCTCGCAAAGTGTCGGCATGGCCCTCCAAGGCCCTTGCGTCCGCATCGTGCGTCCTTGCTACACGGGCTGACAGTCGAGGAACGCGCCCGCCTAAATGTCACCATCCCAGCCCCTCGTGGGTCGGGGCAGGGCGGGCCTCTCAGCGTGCAGTCGACCCGCATAACGTCGTGCCTTCCAAGGCCCCCGCATCCTCGTCGCGCGTCCTTCGTCTTCGGATCGACTGTGGCCGGAACCGCCCCAGCCCCTCGTGGGGCAGGGCAGGGCAGCTCTCCCAGCGCACACCCTCCAGGAGGCGCTGGGTGCTGCGAGGCCCAGAGAGGAGAGGTGGGGGCGGCCAGCGGGGTCGAGGTTTCCCCGTGGGGGGGGGGAGGTGAGCATGGTTTTCCTTGTCTGGAGGGAAGGGGATTGCGATGCTCGGTAGAGCCAAGCTGGAACAAGTGGCTGGGGCCAGCCCTTGCACTCTCTTTCCGTCCCCGGCCAGTCTTCCTCTGACTTTTCCAGCCCTGGCGACCTCATCCCCCACCGCTTCGTGCTCGCCGCAGCCCCTGCCAGCTTTTCCGGCCCCGGCCGCTTCCACTGTCACGGGGCTCCCAACTATACATTTTTTCGGTTTCCCTACAGTTCTTGATCACGTTAGGCCTCCAGATGCGTTTGGGGGGACGTGCCGGGCCTTTTCCCGCCGCCTCCAAGCCACTGGGGCGGTCCGGTATCTGGCCGACGGCGGCAACTCGCGGTCCACAGACCCGGTTCGATTTGACCGCGCTGTGTGCACTTCTAGTGTGCTGTCGTCCTCAGCTTGTGCTTTTCAGAAGCTGGGGATTGTGTACACATGCAGCGATTGATCGTCATTTTTAGCTGCGTATCTTTTTTCGTTTCCATGCCCCCATCTGGTCACATTGTTCCCGACGATCCTGTGGTGGTGGGTCCTCGTTTTGAATAGACAGCGCCCCGCGTTCCCTCCTCCTTCCTCCCCCTCCTCCCTCCTCCTCACTCCCCTCCCCTCGCCTCTGCTCTTCGCATGTTTTTGTTTCGCCGCACCCTCTCACAAGTTTCGTGTCCCCATAGGGAGCTCCACCGAAGGCCCACTTGGCAGGGTTCGCATGGCGCCACCGTGCCCATTTCCGAACACCCCTTGCACGTTTCGTGGCCCCACAGGGAGCTCCACCGAAGGCCCCAGTGGCAGGGCTCGCATGGCGCCAACGCACCTATTCGGTGCACCACTCAGATTTTCATGTGGCCTCATAGGGAGCTCCACCGAAGGCTCCTGTGGCAGGGCTCGCATGGCGCCACCGCACCCATTTGGCGCACCATTTATACGCTTCGTGGCCCTATATGGAGCTTCACCGAAGGCCCCAGTGGCAGGGTTTGCATGCCGCCACCGCGTCCATTTCGGCACACCCCTCACACGTCTCGTGGCCCCACCAGGGAGCTCCACCGAACGCCCCAGTGGCAGGGTTCGCATGGCGCCACCGCACCCATTTCGGCACACCCCTCACACGTCTCGTGGCCCCACCAGGGCGCCCCACCGAAAGTCCCAGTGGCAGGGTTCGCATGGCGCCACCGCGTCATTTCGGCACACCCCTCACACGTCCCGCGGCCCCATACAGGGCGCCCCACCGAATGTCCCAGTGGCAGGGTTCGCATGGCGCCACCGCGTCATTTCGGCACACCCCTCACACGTCTCGTGGCCCCACAGTGAGCTCCACCGAAAGCCCTGGTGGCAGGGCTCGCATGGCGCCACCGCGCCCATTTCCGCACACCCCTCACACGTTTCATGGCCCCATGGGGGGCTCGGCCGAACGCCCCAGTGGCAGGGCTCGCATGGCGCCACCGCACCAATTCCGGTGCATTCCTCAGACTTTTCGTGGCCCCACAGGGGGCTCCTCCGAATGCCCTAGTGGTAGGCTTCGCATGGCGACACCACATCCATTTCGGCACGGGCCCCTCACACGTTCCGTGGCCCTGTAGGGAGCTGCACGGACAGCCCCAGTGGCAGGGTTCGCATGTTGCCACCGCACCCATTTCGGCACACCCCTCACACGTTTCGTGGCCCCACAGGGAGCTCCACCGAAGGCCCCAGCGGCAGGGTTCGCATGGAGCCACCGCACCAATTTCGACATACCCCTCACACGCTTCGTGGCCCCAGAAGGAGCTCCACCGAATGTCTCAGTGGTAGGATTCGCAAGGTGCCACACCGCCCCACCGCCCATTTCTGCACGACCCTCACAAGTTTCGTGGCTTCACAAGGAGATCCACCGAAGGCGGGGCTCACAACTGCGGTACCCACAATTGCATATGATTGGGTCCTTCGCCGGGGGAATTCCCAACCCTCCTGTGGTGTTGGGTCCTCGATTTGAAGAGACAGCGCCCCGCGTAACTCACTCCTCCTCACCCATCTCCTCCCTCCTCTCTCCTCCTCCTTCCTCTCCTTCCCTTCCTCTTTCCTCCCTGCGTTTTCGCCCACCCAGTACAGCGCTTCGTGGCCCCATAGGTGGCTCCACCGAAGGCCCCAGTGCCACCGCCCGCATGCGTCACCCACACCCATTTCGGCACCCTTTACACGTTTCGTGGCCCCATGGGGAGCTCCACCGAAGGCCCCCGTGCCACCGCCCGCATGCGTCATCCACACCCATTTCGGAAAGAGGGAGGTTCTGTGGTCGCTTGGAGGGGGGCGGGGTTGCAACCGACCCCCCCCCCCCCCTGGGATGGATGTTGGGGTGGGGGATCGAACCCACCCCACCATCCCTGCCCGTTACAGAGGGGGGAGTGTTTCGACCCCCCCCCTCTCCCCCCCCTCCTCCCCTACTTGTCCTCTCTCACCCTCTCCTCGGGCCGGCTCCTGCGTCGGCGGCGGCTGGCGGCGGCGGCGGGGGCGACGATTTCGTTTTCTGGGCTGGCGCCCGGCGCCTGCGGCGGCGGGCGGCGGCGGCGGGGAGCGTCGACGAGGACGACGGTGGTGGTGGTGGTGGTGGGTGGTGGTGGTGGTGGTGGCGGTGGTGGTGGTTGTGGTGGTGGTGGTGTGGTGGTTTGTTGTGGTGGTTGTGGTTTTGGTGGTGGGTGGTGGTGGTGGTGGTGGTGGTGGTGGTGGAGTCAATACACCCTTCCGCACCACCATTATGCTGCCCATCCTTCTCTCTCGCCTTGCACTGCTTGGCTCACTTCGCGCTGCTTGTGCCTTGCATGTTGCTTTATAGCTGTTTGGCCCTAGGGGAACATAATAGGAACGAGCCTGCGGCGCGCGCGCGCGTGCGTCGGCCGGCGGGCCGGCCTGCTCTCTTCAGGGTTTCCCTATTGCTACTTTAACGGCATTGTTCTTCCTCCCCATGTCATCGGCGAAGCACACTGATCATGAGACATCAACAGAACATCTGTCAGGAATATGTGAATATTCAGGCAAAAACTGGTTATCAGCCGAAACGACAGCTCAGCCGCTAGCTTCGCAGAGCATGGGATCACAGGAGGGAGCGCTCGGAAGAGCAGAACATCGACACCGTTCCGATCGTATCGATGATGTGGGCGCCTCCATGAGGCGACCTCATTCTGTCAATCTTCCCAGAAGGCAAGCGTTGAAAACTGCGTTCGGCTTGACGGAAGGGGATTCCCCAGTTGATTCGTTGGCAAGGGCTAAAGCACAGACCCCGGGCGGAAGGTATGGCACAGCCAAAACTTCCGCCGATGGATCATACGATATAGCACCAATGCACTTGCCCGATCATCGGTTGACCTAGACCATGAGATGGAGCAACTGTTGAATCGTATCCTCATAGAAATGTCAGATGAAGGAAATTGTAGCACAGAACAAGCAGCGCAATTTGTGATACATGGACAGGGCGAGCATGCGAACAACTTAGAATCGGAAAGGGTCATACCTCGCCTGGCCCATCGCACCATCTGAATCCTTTCCCTGATGGGTCTGACGGGCTCGCCACAGGCGCAAATCCGTTTGTGAACGAGACAGTTGATTATGCAACGGTCGATGCACTTCAGAAAGCCATTCTTGATTCGGGTGATGATTTCGGCGATGGAAGAAACCCAGACCGAGGCAAGAGTTCGTCGGCTCTGCCGATGTCGAGCTCGCCTGATATCATACGTGCAGTCAGGCATACAAGAGAGCCTACAGGGGCAACTCCGCTTCCACAGACTAAGAAGTCTAAGAGTGAGGATGACGACCTGAATGCTTCCCCTTTGCAGCAAGGTTTTCACCGGCAGGACTTCGCATTGCCGAGCTCTAACAGGGACAGGGAACCGGAATTTGATGAGCTTGTGGTGCAGGACGAAAGAGACGAGCTAGCCCAGAACCAGGACGTCGATTTCACTAATAAGGGTATGAGAACAAGGGAGCAGCACACCCCTGCCTCCAGCAGAGGACGCAGGAAGGCCCCCAGGGCCGGACGCTCAAGTTCCAGAGGGTTCGATGTCCTTGAGTCCCATCGGCTATCGTCAAATAGGACCACCAGTAGCTTCTCGATGCGGGACAGTTGCTGGAATGCCGAATCCAGGTGCCCGCCTCAAGCAGAGAACCGGTGCCCGGGGAAAGCGCGCGAGCGGGGGGGGTCGTGTAGAAGGCCTGCATGTTCACAATGTTCGAATGTATGTCCCAAGTGTAGCCTTGCATGGCTCCGTGGAGAATGCATTG